CAGAACCCGAATGAGAACCAGACGGGGATTTCGTTGTGGACGCTGGAGGATGTGCAGAAGGCGCAGGCGAAGCGGAAGATGGAGTCGATGATGGTGGAGGTGGAGGAGCGGGACGAGGACGAGGAGTACGGGGATGGGGGGATTACGGACAGGATGATGATGGAGGTAGACATGTCATGAGCAGTGTACACCGTATGATAATGTAGGGCCAAGTGACCAGTCATACGCGACACGAAGACAGGGGTGGATTGTCCCAAGAAGGCAAGAGGTGGGTCGTGGCGAACGGTGGGTCGAGCATCCTCTTCCCTCACCGCCAACTTTTCTCTTTATTTCGTCTGCGTCGTGCTTGTCGCGAGCGGCTTGCGCGTCGTATAATAATCAGGTCAAAACCCCCGTCTAAGGCTTAACTCGTTCCAAGGACACCCGTCATCATGGCGCTCTCCGCCTCCGACCTCGCGGTATGCGCTTCGTCAGTGTCCGCCGCGTCCCGAGCCCATCCCAACTCGTTTTGCAGAAACGCCACAATCTGGAGGGTGCACCGGACCCGTTCCCGGCCATGGTCGACAAGTCGCCCGCCCGTCCCAAGAAGTCGCCCCAGACCGCGCTCGACACCGACTCCGCCTCCGCCTTCCCGGCCCTCGCGCCCTCCGCGCCCACAGCCGCCGCCCCCGCGCGCTCGGCGTGGGGCGCGGGAGGCCCGCGCATCAAGCCCGCGGTGGTCAAGGCACCCGTCTACACGGACACGTTCACGCTCACCAGCGTGAGCCTCCCGACCAACAAGGATGGCAAGACGCTCTCGCTCTCCGAGGTCCTCAAGCAGGTCATGGCAAAGCACAAGGTCCGCATCGACGCCTCCGGCCAGAAAGGCGGCCAAACGTTCTACCTGCGTGGCGAGAGCCCCAAGGAATTGGACAAGGGAAAGCGCAGCCTCCTGGCTTCCCTCAGCCCGGTCGTACGTCCTGCGCGCTCTGCTGCCGTACTTTTACTCATCCTCCTCAGATCTCCATCGTCGTGGACGCCCCCGCTTCTACTATCCCTACCATCATCGGGCCCAAGGGTACGTGTTGTGCCGCCTGACACGCGTACACTCCTCACGACAGTCTGTTTTTAGGCGTTACGCTGAAGCAAATCCGTGACCAGACCAACGTCAAGATAGACATTCCTCGCCGCGAGGATACTCTCAACGTTCCCAACGGTCAGGCTAACGGACATGCCTCTGGCAAGGCTACTCCCGTCGAGGATGACGAAGAGGAACCCACGATCCCCATCACCGTCCAAGGTCCCGAGACTTCCGTGTACGAGGCCAAGGCCCTCCTCAACCAGATCATCGCCACGAAGACCTCGAAGACGACCCAACGCGTTCGCGACATCCCCGCGCACATCCTGCCGTTCATCGCTATCCGCGAGAGCTATTACAAGGGTCTGGGCGGCGAGGGTAACGAGCTTCACTTCAGCTTCGACTTCAAAGCGCGCGAGGTCACCGCCTCCGGCGATCGCGAGGCCGTCGTCGCCGTCATCGAGAGCGTCAAGGCATCCATCGAAGGGCACAACTCCACGCTCACCTCGTTCAAGCTCAACCTGCCGAAGCGTCAGCACGTCCTTCTGCGCGGTGACTTTGCCAAGGAAATCCTGCTCAAGAGCCAGTGCTCGATTTCGGTCCCACCCGCCGAGGACGCGACTGACGAGATCATTGTCTGGGGCAAGCAAACGGATTTGGCCAAGGGCATGGAGGTCGCTCTCAGCCAGGCGAACTCGAAGTACATCCACGACTTCCCCGTGCCTTCTACTGGTCCCGGTACGGCTAAGCAGGTTGTCACGTACATGACGCGCATTGGGTACACGAGAATTCTCAAGGCTTCCCATCCCGGTGTCTCTGTCTATCTGCCGTCTCCGGAAGCTGCGAACTTGAGCATCGTCATCGCTGGCGACAAACCCGCTGTCGATGGCGTAATCAACAATGTCTCCGCGCTCATGGGCAAGCTCTTCAGTGGCACCAAGGAAGTTCCCATCGACTGGCTCCTTCACCGCATCATTCAGGGCAAGAACGCGAAGAAGTGTGTGTTTATCTTGACTCACTTGAGCCGTCGTATCTGACTAGTCTTCCAGGATCAAGCAGTTCCACGAGCAGCACAACGTCCAGGTTCTTTTCCCGCCCGAGTCTCAGGAACTATCCTCCGTCTTGCTCGTCTACGACCCGCTTTCGCCCAACTTCTCGGTGTCTCTCGACGACAAGCTTAAGCACTTGGACGACGTCAGCAAGGACCTCCTCAAGTTCGCCCGGGACGCTGCTGATGTCAAGAGCGAGCAAGTCTCCGTTGAGAAGCGGTGGCACTCTGCGGTCGTCGGTGTTAACAAGACCACGCTCAACGCGTAAGCCCACATCCGTTGCAGACACAATCTTCGTCCTGACGCGGGCCATAGCATCATCGGCGAGGACAAGACACTCTCCATCAAGGTCGGTGCTGAGGCTAAAGCGGACTCGGAGGACGTTATCTTCGTCCGGGGCGCCAGCGCCGACGTCGACCGTGCGGTCAAGGAGATACTCCAGATCGTCGAGGACGCAAAGCACAACGAAATCGACAACAGCTACGTAAGTGTGAGACGACATGTATTCGGCTATCAACTGAATGCGTTCATGTAGGTCACCGACTTCGACATCGACCGCGAGTATGTTGGTCGCATCGTGGGCTCGCAGGGCTCTGGCATCAACAGGCTTCGGGATCTGCTGGGTGTCAAGGTCGATGTGTCCGACGAGGAGACCGAGAAGGACAAGGAAGGCGGCAAGAAGAAGAAGGCTGTTCACCAGAAGGCTAAGGTCACGGTACGTTCTCATTCTGTTCCCTCCTATATGTATCGTGTACTTAGGAAATTGCAGATTGTCGGACGCAAGGAAAACGTCGAGGAGGCCAAGAAGCGTATCCTTGGTCAAGTCGAGCGTTTGGTCAGTCTTGTTAGATTCTACACATCAACAATGCTTACCTGTTATACAGGCCGACGAGACTCAGGAGATCTTGAAGATCCCCAGCCAGTACCACTCGTCGCTCATCGGTCAAAGCGGGAAGTACGCTATCCGTCTGGAGGAACACTACTCGGTCAAGATCACGTTCCCTCGTCAGAATGAATCCGGCGAAGGCAAAACGCGCGAACAACTCAAGAGCGACGAGGTTCTCATCAAGGGCGGCCGTAAGGGTGTCGCTCAAGCCAAGAAGGAGCTCCTCGACGTGAGTTCGCCACTTTGAAAGTCCTGCGCTAAGGCTGACATCATGAAGGCGGTCGAGTTCGAGAAGGAGTCGAACAACGTCATCAAGTTCACTGTGCCCAATCGTGCTGTCCCGCGCATCCTCGGACGCGGCGGTGTGAGCATCAACGACATCAAGGACTCCACGAGCACGCAGATCGACGTCGACGAGGCCGAAGACAGCGACGGGGCTCTTACCCAGATCTCCATCCGCGGCTCGAAGAAGGGCATAGCCGAGGCCAAGGCGGCTATTCTTGCCATCTCGGATCAGGTTCAGGAAGAAACCACCGCCGTTGTGCCCATCGAGAACAAGTACCACCGCACCTTGATTGGTGGCGGCGGGCAGGGCTTGCGGGACTTGATTGCGCGCTGTGGCGGCCCCACGGACCCGAAGCTCCAGGCTGGTTTGGTTCGCTTGTCAGTTGTTTGTTCTTCACGCGTATATCAACCGTCTCATATGACTATCGCAGCCCTCGCCCAGGTGAGACCGGCGACGAGGTTCGCATCCGCGGCGAGCCCAAGCTTGTGAACAAGCTCAAGGTGGAGCTCGAGAAGGCCGCGGAGGAGCTTCGCGCACGCATCGTGTTGGCTGTCGAGGTCCCTGCTCAGCAGCATCGTGCTCTCATCGGTCGCGGTGGGCAGCACCTCAACGAGATGCAGAACCGTACGGGTGCACAGGTGCAGTTCCCAGGGTCTAGGTCATACAACCAGGTTGGCGAGCCGGAGAACGCGTCCGACATGGAGGGCGTCGACCCGGCCAACATCGTCAAGGTTTCTGGCTCAAGGGCAGCTTGCGAGAAGGCCGTCGAGGAGCTGAAGGTACGCGGCACATCGACCGTATACAGATCTGTCTAACCCATCTACAGAGCCAGGTCAAGAAGGTCCCTCCTCCTGTTGAGATGATCACCGACACGATCACGGTGCCGCTCAAGTATCATCACGCTATCTCGCAGCAGGGCGGTTTCTTCCGTGGCCTGCGCGCGTATGGTGTGCAGGTCGACCAGTCTGCCGTCCCGAAAAAATCCGCGGTGCCCGCTCGTCCTGCCACCAACGGCGCCGCCTCTTCGGAAGCCCGCATCGACGACGCCGCGGACGAGGAGACCCCTGCTGTACAATGGGAGGTCATCCCCAACTACCAGGACGCTGAGGAGGGCGATTCGGTTTGGACGTTGAAGGCGCGCGACCAGGAGGGTCTCGACAAAGCCAAGTCTGCCGTCGAGGACGCTGTCAAGGCAGCGGAGCGCATGTCGCATGTCGGGTTCCTCACGATGCCCGACCGCTCCACGTTCCCTCGCATTGTGGGCTCGAAGGGCTCAACGGTTGCGCGTCTGCGCAACGAGACGGGGGCTGACATAACTGTCAGCCGCGAAAACAGCACGATCGTCATCATTGGTACGTTTTTTTGCCTGCTGCTTGGAGAGTATGAGCTATGGGCTGACGTGTATACAGGTTCCCAGGACGATATCGTTGCTGCCAAAGACGCCATCTTGCGCATGGTGTCTGATAATGGACGTGGGGGCCGTCGCAGGGATTAATCGGTGTGCATACCTATAGCTAAGCTACTCACTGGATGGAATCTGAACACCGACTACATCTCATTCAATTGCATGGTCACTCATACCTTCGAAGCAAACTTGTGTGTATGCTGGGCGAGTGAGTATGGTGAGGAGGGCGGCATTGAGTACTTGGGTGACTATGCACTTACTGTAGGTGCTTATTTCCCTTCGGATGCTGGGAATTTCTTTGTCTTTTCCGCAGAGGGTGCCCCGTGGCCCAGATGGTTAAGGCGTGTGACTGTTATCTCCTGGAGAAGATCCCTTCAATACCAATCACAAGATCGTGAGTTCGAGCCTCACCGGGGCAGACCGTTTTGCTTCGTGCCGCGATGTCACCCACGTCTGCACAGAGTCTGCTAGACTCGTTCAGTCGCGCGAGCCTCAGCCCGAACACGCAAGTGCTTTATCCGAAAAGGGAGAGCGGCAATCGGGCCGATAATCCGTTATCTTCTGTTTTGGGTTTTGAGCGAGGGAGCGGGCGAGGCTCGCCGAGCGACTATAACATAACGCCGATTTGGCGTGAGCCCAAAACGTGAGTCTGACTTAGTGAAATTTCGCTCTCACCCAAGTGGTGTCGCCTCTGGCACCGTCGCGAGACCTCGTCCGACTATTGTTTCTTCGGAGAATGTTCCGGATATACAGCACGGAGGTGAGGCCGCAGCCAGAACCCGAAAAAGCAGGCACGAATTGACCACAATCGTTGGGCCGTGTTCAAGCCGTGTTGTGGCAGCGGTGCTGACCCGTTTTGGGGTAAAACAGCGCATCTTCCGATCCGTTTGAGTCCACAACACATTATCTCGCAGTCACAGAGTATTTGAGAAGTTTCTATCTTGATGGGTCTTTGTGTAGATGCCAATTGCGAGCCAAACCCCGAGCTTTCGAGCTTTAGGCTCTGAATGCGAGGTCGAAAACAAACTGGTCCTTTGAGGCTTTGTGGAGCAGTTCTGTGTCCAGAAGTTTGTTATACATCCTTATACAGTAGATATATACGTTTCCCAGAGCGTTTTATATGGCCGGACGGATGGCACGACGATGTATGTAGGTCGAGTCGTCGAAATTTCACTAAGTCAGGGTCACGCTTTCGTGACCCTGCCATGTGACGGTCATGTTCTACCAGCCGCTTCGTGTTACTCAGCTTGCCTGATCTAACACGGAGCGGATGATCGAGCCTAAGAGTCTGCATACTCTCATCATAGTGCAATCGCTGTGCGCCTCACCGAGTAATCCAATCCATTACCGAGCGGGCCAGTAGTCGTATTCTTCAGACGGCAGCCCATCTGCAACAGTGGCGTGCGTTTTGTTTGTTAGTGTTTGATGTTATCGTACTTGCTCGCTGCATGTATGCTAATGCCATCGTCTTCACGACCCTGAAGCAACCCTATTAACAACCTACAGACTGACTGGAAACTCACGTCGAGCTTGGGACACCTTCTATGAACTAATGGCAATAACGCAAAGACACGCAGAGCAGAAATTGCATGTGATACAAGCAGATGTGGACAATGGTACAAGCAAAGATGAGTACAAGCCAGCTATTGAGTCTTTCAAGATTACACGCGCGACAGCTATTCGCGAGCCTACATCATCAAGTTCTGCAGCCCGCTCTGCAAATATGCCATGGGCCGCATAGGCGGATGTGGCCGTGCCTCAAATTGCACGTACTCTTGCGTCCCCGCCGCATCGATGCGGATCTGCGTAGGCATACCGCGTCAGAGGCGAAAGGACGAAGAGGTTGGAAGATCTACTCACAAAGGCGCCTTTGTTCCCTACCTGGTCCACGTAATTCGGGGCGGAGAAGACGGTTGTGCAGAGCCCGTCGTGCTCAACCTCGTAGCCGTCTGACGCACATCATCCGTCAGTCATCGCACGTATACCGTGATCTACAGAGCGCGCACCCTGTCGGACTTCATGACTGCGAATGACTCCTGCAACACCGTTCTCGGTGCACCATCTCCGTGTTACGTCGGGGCCGAACGCGATACCGACGCCCTTCACCACATATTGAGCCACCACGCGAGCCACGTTTGGAGACACCACTCACCCGCTTGCTCGGCCCTCTGCCCGGCGCCGTTTGTGGGTCGGTCCACAACAACTGCGGTCACAATATTCAGCACGAGCAAGAAGAGCAAAAAGGAGCAAACGTACTTCGCACATCAAGCCCTCCGTCCCTGGCTGTTTCCCTATCCGCTGGATCTTGCGGATGTCTTCGAGCGTCACGCCGTCTTTGCTGAAGAGCCCGCCGTGGACGACAAAGTAGCGCTTCTTGCCTTCCGCGGACAAGATCGCCTTGCCGGGGCTCGGTGGTGGCTTTGTTGCGCATACCAGTGTAGCCAGAGGTACTGCCCATCCCGAAGTAAATCAGTAAACCGAAAATCGAGCATACCGCAGGTAATATCCTGTTGTACTCACATGTTGTGAATACGTGCGCGAAGAGCTTGTAGCTCTGCTCGCCATGCTTGGTCTTTGCCTCGCCCTCGAAGCCATAAGAGCGGTTCATATCCTTTGCCTCGTGATTGCCGCGGTTGATGAACATGTAGTTCGGGTAAAGCCACTTGAACGCGAGCGCGGTCAGGATGACCTCGATGGACCACGAGCCGCGGTCGACGAGGTCGCCGTTCATGAGAAGGTAGTGCTTCTCGGACGGCTCGCCAGTCAGCGAGTACAAATGCAGCATGTCGTAGTACTGGCCTGGGTGCAGGTCGTCAACACGCGGGCGTCGGGCGATAGTAAAGAGCGAAATGCTCACCGTGTACATCCCCGATCACGTCTATGGTCACATCCTCCGGGATGTCCAGCGTCACCAAGGTCTCTTCCTTCGCGAAGATGTCGTGTGCGGCGAGGACCATCTCCCAGACATAGCGCTTCGGCAGCGCCTTGCCCTCCTTGAACCACTCGATCATGGCGCGTACGAACTCGAGCGAGATCGCGTACTTCCCGCCCTCGCCTTGCGGCAGCTTCGGTCCTGCGTATTCCTTGTCCACATCGCACCCGCCTGGTACAGGCGTCAGATACAAGTCGCACACATACGCGTGTTGGGCACACGCACCCTCAGCAATAATCTCCCTGCACCGCTCGACCGGGCTCTTCTCCCCCTCGACCTCGATCGCCTGCACTAGACGCGGTCAGTACGGCGCGCCGCAGGCTCGCATCCCAACGCGCCTTCTCAAACTCGATCTTGCGGATGAGCTTCTGCGTCGACGTGAGCTGTGCGCGCACGGTGTCGTTCTTCGGCTCGATCTGCAGCACGCGCTTGAAGTCCGCGATCGCGAGCTGAGGGCGGAGCGTCGAGAGGTAGCATGTCGCGCGCCGGAAGTAGGCCTGCCAGAGTGGATGATCAGGGCCGGGCGAGGGGGAGAACGGGGCCTGCGATGCGCACCTTGGAGTACTTGGGGTCAATGGTCGCGGCCTGGGCTGCGGGGCGCGGTCAGCGGGGGCGGCCATCGATGAACGCGGCGTACGCACTGGCGTCGGTCAGCGCGTAGCCGAACTCCTCGAGCTTCATGCGCGCGTACGCGCGATTGCACCAGAACGTCGCATCCCCCGGGTTCTTCTCGATCGCGGCCGTGTACAGCTCAACGGACTTTGCAAAGTCGTGTGCTAGAAGACGTTCAGCATATCAGCGAACATATTGGACAGCAGATTGTCATCGCATACCTGCAAACGCCTTGTTGGCTTCCGCCTTCAGCTTCGCTGCCTCTGCCTTGTCCTCGTCGGTCACATCGCGTAACGAAAGCGTCTGCAGCTCGGGCGACGGTGGCACCGACGTCGGCGGTGTGGAAGATACTGGAGAGGTGGACGCTGAATCGCTCATCGTGCAGTTCAAGAAAGCGATCTGGCGCCGGCGCCGATGCAGAAGCGGTCAGAAATCCAAAGAATGGGTGACACGCGACGACTGACGCGTTCGTGTATTCATCGCAAAATTCAACAATAGACACGACAGATATTCAGCCATATATTCTAAGTAGTACCGGTGCATGCCAGCAATGACCGTGTAGAGACGAACCGTACATGTACAAGCGCCCATCCATATATCTCACTGTTCAGAGATCCAAAGCCCCAAGTCTAAACTTCCCAAAAGAGATCAATGGCAGGCATCGAGGTTGAAGTACTTGCCCAGGCGGGGGTTGCTGTCATAAGCGTTGATATTCTGGAGCCACCCGTTCAGGAACTGGTGCAGGCTGCTCATGGGTAAGTATTGTCGCAGTCAAGCACACGTGCGGACTCACTAGTCCAGGTTGTTTTGCCAGTGGCAGTTGCCCGAGTACTGAGCTGCAGTAGCCTCTCCCTGCTCGACCAGTCAGTAGCTGAAGCTCAGAGAAGCATGACTGACGCGTACGTAGGTCAGGCCCTTATGCCAGCCGTTGTACATGCCGATCGAGAGAAGAAGGTCGCCGCCGTTTCCGTCAAGGACGCCCCTAAAGAACTCGGCGCCCTTCCGGATGTTGAATTCCTGCCGAAGCACGTAAGTATCACGACGACTACCCCAGCTCGCACTTAAGGACTCACAGGGTCCCTGCAGTTTCCGCCCGGCGCGCCGCCGCATTTGTCCTGAGTAAGCTGCATCAGGCCCTGCTCGCCCGCACCGCCGACGGTGCCGGCGTTGCATGAGCTCTCCTGCTCTACCGTCAGCTGTATGTTCACGACTCAGCATATTACACCCCGCACCTCCATTGCGAACGCTGCCAACATGATGGCCGGGATGTTGTGCTCCGCGCCGTACTTCTCAAACATCCAGGTGTATGAGGAGCACGCGCCGAAGGGACTGCCGGAGGTCTTGACCGCGTCGCTGAGGCTCTTTGCGATCACGTCGTTGACGGTGACGAAGGGCGGATTCCACCCGCCATTGTTGATCCCGCAGTTCAGCCAGTCGATGTTTCCGTTGGGCCCGCTGACAGCGGTGACTTTCTCTGTAAGTGGGATGAAGGTGAGCTAGCGCGCCTTTCGACAGGGCCGTGAAACGCATACTGGTAGCACCGATGTTGCCACAGTTGGACTTGACGTTGATGACGCCCGTCAGAGCGGCGTGAATCACTGGGGTCGAGTCGGCGGCCACGATCTTTGCGTGCTGCACAGTTAAGTCAGTAGACGATCTTCGTCGTCTATGGTGGCGAAGCTCACATCCGTGGCAGAGGGCCCGCCCTCGTGAGACCAATGGTGGTGTTTGCGGCGCGCCATCCGCTCCTTCACCACCACGCCCACGCCACGATGGACGATGTGCGTGTCGCGAACGTCGTGCTCATGCGCCAAAGACGTGATAGCCAGACCAGCCAGCATAATCATCGTGAAGGACTTCATGTTGAGAAACGGT